CGTCTCTCTTGCGCCTGCGCGCTGGTGGCCGGGGTTCCAGCGTGCGCTGGGTTTGTGACGTTCCGCGCGCTCGCGGAGCTCAGAGTCCCCTCCAAACGCACGTGGGCGCGGCGTCCACCTGCTCAGGCCTAATGCTTAGGAATCTAAAGCTGAAAGACTGCTCCCCTGTCTCCTGCCTCGCCCCGTTCCTCTTAGGGAAGCCCGTCCGTGCTCCATCTCACTTCAGGGGCCTGCCGTCCAACACGGGGAGCATCCTTTAGCGGGTCGGCGCTCATCCTGGGGCCCAGACTGAGAAGGTGGTCCCGGGGCGCCGAAGAAGGTCCGTGCTCTCTGGGAACTAAGCAGGACAGAGCCTCCCCTTTTCCTTTGAACGAGTATGTCAGTCTTAGCCCGTGGCTTTCTCACTGCTTCCGTGGCAGTCAGGCCGCGCAGTCCTCTCTCATTGCTGTTGCCACAATGGAAACTGCCTGTTGGTGCATCCGAATAGGTCAGAAACTTAAAAAACTTACTGGGGTGCAGCTTAAAATAAAATACACAAAGCTTAAGTGTACAGTTCAATAAGTCTGTGCTTACTACGTATATAACTACTACCCAGATGAACGGTTCTGGGACCCTGGGCTCCCTTGTGCCCTCTCCCCATCACTACTCATCCACAAGGTCACAGTTCAGGTCAGGGACTGGTAGATTTTTAAAGCTCGAAGCATCCAGTTAAGTGCCACTCACATAATTGAGACTCAAATATGTCTTGGATCTTGCTGAGTTTGAATCAAGAAACTAGACACATTAGAATGGAGTCTTTTGTTCATTGAACAAATATTTATCAAGAGCCTGCTATGTGCCAGGTATTGTACCTGGCACTAGAGGTGCTGGAGTGAGCGAAATAAGCCCCTGCTTTCTTAGTGCTTACATTCTAAATGGAAAGACAGACAGTCAAATGCATAACTACATGTTTACATCTAATGTAGTGTCAGGTATAGATTAGTGCTGTGAAGAAGAGTAGAGTAAGGAATAGGAACGGTGGGGCTGTTTGGAGCTAATGACCAGAAAAGACTTCTCTGAGGAGTTGCTTTTTGAGCAGAGCTCTAAATGAAACACGTGACACATTCAGATATCTGGAGAAGACTGTTTTAATCAGAGAAAACAGCAAGTGCAAAGATCTGCGGCCTCAAGTAGTGTACTTGACCTGCTCACAGAACATCAGGGAGGCCACTATACTTGGAGGAGAGGGAAGGAGTGAAAGGATGGTAGAAAATAAAGGTGCACAGGTATCCAAGGGCCAGATCATGTAAGATCTTATAGGCCAGGATGGACACTTTGTATTGCATTCTGAATGTAATATTAAGCAACTGGAGGATTCTGAGCAGGAGATGGACATGATGTGACTTTTTTTTTTTAATTGATTTCAGAGAAAGGAAAGGAGAGACAGAAATATTGGTGTGAGAGAGAAACATGGATCAGTTGCCTCCCAGCCGGGGATCAAACCTGCAGCCTAGGTATGTGCCCTGACAGGGATCGAACCCACCAACTTTTGGTGTATGGGATGACACTCCAGCCAACTGATCCACACCAGCTAGGGCTGATATTTTTAAAGGACCACACTGACTGCTGGAGGTGGGACCATGGAAGAGTGCAAAAGTAGGAGGGAACCCAGTAAGGAGGAGATACAGTAGTGTAAGAGACTGTGACTGTTGGGGCTAGAGTGGTAGTGATGGAAGTGATGAGAATTCTGAAGATATTTTGAAGATCTGAGCCAACATTTTGTGCAGATGGGTTGAATGTGGGGTGTGAGAAAAAGGAATTAAGGATGATAGATTTCTGCCACTCCCCCTCTCCCCCCACACCACACCCTACACAACCAAATGAATGATGCTGGGGCTCTCTGCTGAAATGGGGAAAGAGCAAGAAAAGAGGATTATGGAATAAACATGGATAGTTTTATTTGGGGCATGCCAAGAGTGTGAGATGCCTATTGGACACCCAATGTCAGCAATTAGATAATAAAAACTAGAATTAAAGGAAAAGTCAGGACAGGAGATACATAAGGGAGTCATCAGCATATGTATGATATTTAAAGCTGTGAGACTAGATGAGATCAACTAAAGAGTGAGTGTGGATAAGCAGAGGAGATATTTTAGGACTGGGCCTGAATAATTAGAGATGGTTTGTAAGACAGAAAAGAATGCTCTCATTATATCACGATGACCTCTCATTGAGAAACCACAGAGATAATTTCTTGCCATCTTGGTGTCGGGTGTCTTAGTGTCTAGAAATTCCCTTCCAGTATGGGTAGTGTCTTGGGCTCAGATCCGTTGGTACAAAAAGAAAAGTTTAATGTCAGGTAAAGGGGGTAGAGGGACCCCCAGCTCCAGAAAGTCACAGGTATCATAGAAAACAAAGCTGTGTAGATTTGTTTAAAAAGTGGTGATGGAAGGAAAGCCAAGGAAGGTGAGCCAGGCATCACCTAAGGATTTTACTGGCATCTACCAGGTGCCAAGTTCCACCATGGCAGCATCCCAGGGCATAACATGCTCATGACCCTGCCCTTCAGCCCTCCTGTGGAGCATCTAGACAGAGTAGTCAGGGCAGAGACTGCTGCCAAAGGCTAGGCCATCTCACCCTGGGGGGAGAGGAAGTGAGCACAGACAGGCAGTAGGTCTGCTGCTCTTTAAGAGACCTTAGAGCTGTATATATGGTCTCCTAGTAGGCATTAGACTTAAGGCATGTGATTTGTCGGTTATTGCAGTCGGGGTCCCTGGCAGGAAACATGACACCTTCAAAAGGGTTATGTAAAGAGAGTTTCATGAAGGAGTTGGTTACAAAGGTGTGGAAGAATTAAGGAAACCAGCAAAGGAATGTTCACAGGAAGTGTTACCAGCCTCTGGGCCTTAAGCAGCAAGAGGACAAGAGTGGTCATCAGAACCCAGCAAGGCCTGGCCCGCGTGGCTCAACAGTTGAGCATCGACTTATGATCCAGGAGATTTCAGTTCGATTCCCTGTCAGGGCACATGCCTGGGTTGCAGCTCAAATCCCCTAGCAGGGGGGGTGCAGGAGGCAGCCAATCAATGACTCTCTCATCATTGATGTTTCTGTCTCTCTCCCTCTCCCTTCCTCTCTATAAAATCAATAAAAATATATTTAAAACCCCAGCAAGACCTGTAGGTATAGCAGCAGCTGGAGACAAAGGAGCAGAGAGCAGGAAGAGAAGGGTAGGGCGAGAATCGAGAGGAGCCAGTGGAGAATATCCAGCCAAGTGCTAGTGTTCTCCGAGCTCCATCTTGCTCTGGTAACCCTGTTTCCCCTTTGCTTCATTTTCTGATTTATTGTACATTTATTTGCTGCAGTGCTTTGTAAACATCTTTAAATGCGTTTTGGAAGAGGTTGAAAGAATGGACAAAAGTAAAGATGAAAGAGATGATCATGAAGAACAGCTCGGGCTGCAGTTACCTCATTTCCTTTGTGGATAAGGTCATGAGGCTAGTAAATAAGCAGGGTCTCAAAGTGTACTTAGAATGTGTCAGTTTACTCTTTATCATGAAATACTTTGTACATACCAAATTGTGTGTATACACACACACATACACACAATGTGCATACATATATATCATATTTTTAAGTTGTAAGTAATAAAATACCTACATGCCCCATAATATTAAATCTTTGGCCTCAATTTTTACTCCTTATATCCATGCCATAAAAGGCAGAGCGCACGTCCCCATTCCTGGACTTTGAACTCGGCCTTGCAGGTTGCTTTGGCTGTTGGCATGATGGCAGACGGTCTGCAGGCAGGGGCTGGAAGTGTGTTTGTCCTGTTGGGGGCGCCCTCTGAATACTCTGCACTGCCATGAGATGAGTTTGCAACAGCTAGCCCACTGGTCCAAGAATAATAATGAATGAGTCACGTGGATATGCTGACCTGCAGACCTGCAGTTTAACGCTGAGCTGCCCAGCAGAGCCCAGCCTGAAATAGCTGACCTCCACTTACCCCAAGCTATATGAAAAATAAATGCTTATTTTATATCGCAGAAATGTGGGTTTTTTGTTACACAGAAAAGAGTAACCGATATATACCCATTAAAGAAAAAATGTTTCTTTGTGTGCCTGCCCTTCCTGACTCCCCACCCCTTCAGTCTATTAATACAGTGAGTTACAG